AGGTAGTGGAGGGGCTAGGTTTTCGGGAACAAAATGAGCAGGTCTTAAGAGCTCCATTGAGCGCACTCGAGGATAACCTTTGAAATTAGTTTTAAAGTCCTGATCAAATAGTCTTTTCAGGATCTTGTAAGGACCAGTGTAGGGCCTTTATAGAGGTTTTTTAGCGGCAGCTGTTTGCAGGTGTCCAATCCTTAAAAAAGAAAAGGACAAGGTTTACGCCGATGGGCAACAGGTACAGGTTTCAGCTTTTTCATGTGTTCGCAAAAAACCTCAATAAAAATTTGAGGATTAGTAGTGAAGTCGCTGGTGATGAAAAGTTCACCAGGGATACGAATGTTTGTCCCATAGAGAGAGTCTTCCGGAAAAGCACTTGTGTCACTTCTCACAGCAGTACGCAGGCCAAGGAGAACTGTTGGCAAGAGTTTAACCAAGTCAGGTTTATTGTGACACATGAGGGCTGCCTTAAAACTGCGATGCCACCATTTCATCATGCCGTTGAAAGCAGGGTGGTAAGCCACCGTTCTCTTTCTTTGGCAGCCAATAAATAAGTAGGCTAAGAATAGCTGAGATCCAAATTGTGACCCCTGATTGGTAGTCACAAACCTGGGAGCTTCAAAACGTGCTACCCAGGCCTCATGAAAAGCTCGAATCACAGAAGTAGTGGATATGTCTTTAAAGGGAACAGCCTTTACCCATCTGGAAAACCGGTCGATCATAGTAAGTATGTATGACTCTTGGTCCTCTAAATACCAATGAATAACCTTCATTGGTAGTTAGAGGACCGACCAAGTCAATATGAACGTGGCAAAACCGATCGTCCGGAGCAACAAATTGTAAAGACTCGTTCTTAACGTGTCTTGAAACTTTTGATGGCTGTCAGTCAAGACAGCCCTTACACCAAGAAGCGATATTCCTGTGCATGTCAGGCCAGACATATTTCTGCCTGATTAACTGATCATTAACTTTTGTCCCTGGGTGAGATGCAGAGTGGAACAATTTGAAGATTCGCTTGCGCAGTGGTTGGAGTATAAAAGGACGGATAATTTTTCTGTAAGGTCGCAAAATAGCTTGGTATGGCTGTGACCTAGCTATGGTATAGTAGACCTCAATTATTTTGATTAGTTGCTGTTAGCTCGTGATTATGTGCACTATAATTACGCTGAACTGAACGAAATTTTCTAGAAAAAAAGGTAAGGGGCTTCCAGACACCTTTAAAGAGCTGCTTAAGAGTAGCACCCATAGCGAAATCTGATGCGTCACTGACGAGATGCGTTTCAGCATCAGGAGAAAGAAGGACAAGGAGAGTCACCTCCACGAGGTGTCTCTTGGTGACATTAAAATCTTTCCTGGCATCAGGGGTCCAATCAATGACTCGCTGGTCATTTTTCTTCGAATCAGTGTTATAGTTGAACAGAGGGGTCTGAGTGAAAGCTGCGTGCGGAATGCAATGACGTTGAAAGTTTACTAGACCAAAAAATCTGTAAAGGTCAGCCACTGTGACAGGTAAATAAAAGCTGAGAATGGCTTCCACCTTGTCAGAACATGGCTGAGATCCTTTGGAATTGATAAAATGACCTAAAAAGACCAATTTGGACCAATTTGGAAACTCACATGTAGGGATATTTAACCTAAGACCGAACTGCTTCGGTCTTTCGAAGACTATTTTTAAATACTGTTAATGCTCTTCGATGGAAGTGGAAAAGATAAGCACATTATCCAGATAAATGAAGGCAAATTCAAGATCACCTTAGGTCTGTAAAATGTACCTATAGAAAAATTGAGAGGCGTTACGTAGGCCAAAAGTCATAAAGACATACTCGATTAATTCAAAGGGAGTGGTGACAGCAGTTTTGATGACGTCCGTGGGTGTAACTGGAATTAGGTAGTAAGTCCTGAATAAATTGAGCTTAGAAAATATTTTTTTCTAGATAAACGCAAGGAATAGTCTAACAAATAAAGAATAGGAAATCTATCAGGCACAGTTTGAGCATTCAAGCGACGGTAATCACCGCAGATGCGCCAGCTTTCGTCTTTTTTTCTCATCATATAGATAGGGCTGGCCCAAGGACTTTTGGGAATTCTACAAATACCCTCCCGAATAAGAGCCTCTAATTCCTTTTTAGCTGCCTTGAGTTTGACAGGGTCAAGACGACGATGACATTCGTGTACCAGGGGACCAGTGGCTTCGATGAAGTGAAAGATATCTGAGGCTGTGATGGGATCGGCAGGTTTGCTACCTGTTATCCCTGGAAATTTAAAGAGGAGTCTCGACTACACTGAAGAAGGATCAATAATGCTCACTTTTGTGTAAAAGCAAGTTGAGATCACACCAACAGTGAAGGTGTTAGAAAAAAGGTCAATCAGTCTACGCCTGCGAATGTCAACGATCAGGCCATACGAGTGTAAGAGATCAGCTCCTATAATGGGATACGGAACATTGGCCACTATAAAGTTCCAAGAGATAGGGCGTTTAAATGTAAGGCCAAGAGAAAGTTTCAACTCCCCATACGTATTGATTAGAGTATTATTTGCAACCAAAAAGAGTTTTCCCAGCTTTTAACTCCTTTATTTTATAAATCTGGGAGTAGATTGAGAAGAATATTGAGTCCTTATGACTCACAACAAAATAAACAGCGAAGGCACAAGGCTGAACAACACTGCCAAATCGAATGCCCTGCTCAACGAAGTCTAACCTGGGAGTAGTAAAGACTTGCCAAGCCTACATCACGCATTAGTTCAATATTAACAAAAGCTTACGCCTAGTCTGTTCTCGCAGGAACAGCAAAAAGTGCAAAGTTAATAAAAAAAAATATGCTAAACAGTAAAGAAGCTAAATAAGGGGCACCTCTGTGCTGCAAAGTGATTGATCACAGGTTGGTGGAAATTAACTAGAGTTGGTGTGTTAATTGATAAAAACAAAGTGTACTCGCAGGTACTCAAAACAGTGATAAAATAAGGCACCAATCAAACTTGCTTGTAGCGTGCAGTGTCTGTGAGCTGCAAGGGGGCTTCGACAAGGATAAACCACAAGTTAGCAAGGATTGTTACTTTGACGCAATTGTGCGTTAACACTGGTTAATAATACAAATTTCGAATTATTATATCTCAATAGGTCACAGTGCACGCACAACCACAGTCTGACTACAGAATGCACCAGCAAAGGCCAGCTGTTCAGAATGGGTGGTAAGGTGTAAGTCAAACGTTGAGACACTACCTGACTGTAAATCTTCTGTTCACTTAATTACACTGCTTTCATATGTCGACCTGGTGCAGAAGGCGCACAGAACACGCAACAGCAACAGTACTCACAGCAAAAACCTGCAGAAGCATGCAGTAACGGCGATGACAAGGCGTGTCAAACACGCACCAGCAGCAGCAATAAAGAAGGCGTGCAGAGCACGTGGTGGCAGCAGCCTGGTAAACAAACGTGCACAAGTTCGTTGCACTTTCCGGAACACGTGCGATATCTTTCTCTCTCCTCAGCTGTAGCAGTATGACCTGCAAAGGAAATCTTCAAGATAGCCGCCAACTTCTGAAAAATTTTACCTTGATCACATTGGAGTCACCAAAATAGGATACTGTAATACCTGCTGGTTGCCAAGCAGGGGATGATGGCTTCCATAAGCCAATGTGTTCAGGCAAGGGTGAATGAGTAGTACGCAGGTGGTTTAACTACAACAGAAGATACCTTTATGGCAAGGCAGAGCGCCGCAAGCGAGCGAACATGCAATCTTAAACAGCACCGCCTGCATGCGTGGCAAGGATAGGTGATGCTGGATAACACGATTACAAAGCCTGTTATAGATTGCAAACTTTGTTAATGGTTATTTGTAGATTAAATGCGTTGTGAATACTTAAAGTATCAATTTTTAGTGTCAAAATTTTTTTTATAACAGAAGACAACCATAATTTTATAGTTAAAGAAAAATAACAGTAATTAAAAAAAATTGTATTCTGTTGAAAACAAATTCTTGACACTAATAATCGATATTCTCAGTATCAAAAATGCATTAAAACTACAAAACATGATTAATAACGTTTCAGGCCATAACAGGCCTATGTAATCGTGTTATCCAGCATCGCCTTGTCTTTCTGTTTAGGTGGTACTGTTTTAGATTAGTTTACACAGCAGATAGGATGGATTTGTGGTACAACTCTGCACGCGCCATTCAGTTTCGGAAAACCTAAGATAGACGTTATGTGTTGCTTAGCAACTAAACGAGATCTTTCTCAACGAAACTAGTATAAAATCGAGTTACGCTTTAAAGTTTTTTTATGTGTATTTATACATACACATACATACCATGACTATGTAAGACAAAAGTCTGAGATAAATATTTCCTAAATTTGTTCACACACCAAGAGTAAAACCAGTTTACGGTCATTTCAGGGATTGTGGAATTGTAACCGAGTTATGGCCTAAATAATTTAATATTATTCTTATTCACTAGAACTTGTTTATCTTACCTCTTATTAGAATATTCTAACACGACGCAAGTCAGAAAAAAAGAGAATTAACATACAGAGAATTAATCGTACAAAAAGTAATGTTACATTCTTGTTCTTGTTATCATTTAAAGTATTTAAATAATCATCGATGAAAATTGTATTGTAGATTTAGTGGAGATTATTTATTTAAAATAACGTCTAATGGTGGTACTGTCAAATTTTGTATTTATTGAAAAACAAAACAACTTTTCAGCCGTTCTGTTTTTCAATAACTACAAAATTTGACAGTACCACCATTGGACGTTATTTTAATTATTAACCAACTATCATTGGACGTCTTATATTATTATGGAGATTATTTATCTTCATGCTAACTTTTTTTTTAAGTTCTTGTAGAATGAAAAATTATTATCTTTCAATTGTTGTATTATTTTCAGAATAAATTTTTTCTTATAGTCACCTAGAAAATTGCATTTTTAATTGATACATATGTCTTAATAAATGGATAATTTACTAACGATTAATTGCTGTCAATGTTTTATGTGTTTCAGGTATACGTTGTCTGAAAATGTTTTTATATCAAATTCAACGTACAACTCATGTTTCTGTCAGAAACATGTTAATGCCAATGAACAAGCTGCTCCTACTTGTTCACCAGAAGGAATTTTTAATAATTCACTTTGTCACTATGGAGCTCCAATGCTTTCTTCTTTTCCCCATTTTTTCAAAGCTAATGAAAAACTGCTAACTCATATAAAGGGCTTGAAACCAAAAAAAGAACAACATTCTACTTACATCGATTTACATCCTGTAAGTAAACACATGGTTAATATTATTCTTATGTTGCTTGACTGATGATGATGTCTATTAAAATACTTAGAATTTACATGAGGTTAATGTCATGGACTTACAATTAAAGGAGCTGCTATGACATAATTCATTCACACAAATATGCACACACGAACACACACATACGTGCTTGCACGTACCTGCGTATACATTTGTAACTTTACAGTTATGTAGACCTGTTATAAGATTGATCACATCCTATTCATGTTTCTTCAATTAGTTGGTGAAATAATCACTTTTCTTATTTTATCAAAAAAAAAAAAAATGTACTTGTAATCCCTCAACCTCACTCTTCATCATCTTCTTTGTGAAGCTTGCCCCATCGCTAACGGTGTTTAACCTTATACCTATACCTATACCTCAACTTTTTTTTTAAACTAATGGAAAAATAAGCGTAATCAATTGCACTGTCTTATTTTTATCTAAGTTGAAAATTACAGGAAAAACGGCCTTGTACTTGCGGTTTTTAAAGTTATACTTCTATAAGCGCGTTATGTGCGAGGGTAAATCAACGATTTCAGATTTTGACCTTGAGAAAAAGTGTGGTGGAAGAGGATTTTGCTTGGTCCTCCCACTTTGCCTTGATCCCATGACATACTTTCGTTTTCCTCTACAACACATGACCCTAAAGGACATCAAACCAATTCCAAAAAAAAAAAAAAAAAGAAGTTTCTCAAGAGATTTGAGCCCCAGACCTTCTGCACACTGGTCGAGGACCTTACCCACTGCGCTATGAGCTTGACCGATATGAGAAACTCATACTACTTTACTCTGTCGTACAGTTCCTTACTTATTTTTCATGTAAATTTTTATTTACTGTGTATTAATTCATTTAATTCGATTATACATTAAATACACAGATAATTTATTTGATGGAATATATTTTTTGAGTACATGTTTTAAAAACTTCGAAATCAGTATATATTAGCAAAGCAGCTTTCATATTATGTCATAATAAACATTTATTTACTTATTATCAGTTAGTTACTTTTAAAATGAATAAATAATTGCTTACAGAATTTGTTACAACTTGTCAAAACTTTTAAACATTAAAACAAAAAATTTTTGTACTGTACAAATACAAGAACTAATTTTTAATGTCTTCTTCTCTTACAATTTTTCCATTCGTGATTAAAGTATTTTTTTGACTTAAGGACGTTATTCACATAGTTACTAGGAGAAAAGTTCAGAGAAGTGAGAGGAACACTAATGTGTGCAGTAAATCTAGCAATTGTTTTTCTCATGTGGATATACTCCAATACATGCTTTTACGCACACTTCATCCCCTCTTCCTAAATCAATTTGGAAACCAACTTGTCGGTCTATTTGAAAATTCGATAGGCTTATCTATAAGTAATCTTTTGTACCCAAAAAACTGGGAGATTCCTTCAAATCAAAAAATGCCATTTAACTTTATCTTTTTCATAAGTGTTTGGATCCCCAAGTAAAAAGTTATACTTCTATAAAATTATATGGCAGATAATATACTTTCATGCATTTTAATTTTTTTGCGTTTTTCAGCTTTCTCGCTTGTTGAAACAAAAGACCAAATTTTTTAGTTTTTCTTAACACTTACTTCTTATGTCAAATTATCGGGTCAACAACTTTTGTATATAAAATCTTACTCCAAAACCAAAACTTTCCGAAATATTTTATCAAAACTGAAATTAAGCTTTTTTGCAAGTTATTTTGCGATAAAAAACAATGACGCGTATCTCCGTTAAAGTCGACAACTCAAGGCGTTATTCAATATATTTTTTTCGAATTTCAAGCTCAACATCGTCTTGTTATAAAGAACCACCACCTTCTAATACTCTGGTGCCTTGACTATATGCCTTCTTATCCTAATCACCTTAAGTTTCTTTGCTCTTATACTGTATGAAGTTTTCTGAACCAAGCTTTTTATCTGTCACTCTAAATTTATAATAATATTTAACTTATTTTGCTTAAACATTGAAACAGCCTACAGTCATTATCATAGCCAATGGTTTAATGTTGTTTACTCACTTGCTTAAGCTACACAGTCAACTAAATACACTAATAACTACAAATTCAGCATTATTGTGATGCAAAAACTCTCTACTAGAACTATTATACACATTATGCTGAAAGATTATACAAATGTTGTATAAAATTAAATTTATAACTCATAACAAATGTAAAGAAAATTTTCTTTGTTTATTGAATCTAAATTTTCCACTTTCTTGAATTAATATTTTATTTATGATGTACATAAATAAACCAAAACAAAAGTTATCACGTAAATTGCCTTTGTATTCTTTAATTGTGGAAATAAAACGTTGAGCAAAAAAAGTTTTTTGTAGATATTTTTGTTTGTTAATGCAAATTTTCAGAACAATTTTAATACTTTTTCGTTTGAAATACAATGCATAGGATAAAAGGTACTTTATTTATTGAATTCCTGCAATAAGGCAACGTTATTGATGTAGAGATCGACTAACAATGAACTATTTGCGAGTGATAGAATCAACAACACTTCGGTTCACGTGATTAACGACTTTTTTGTAAAAAGAGTAGTTGTTCTCTAGTAGGAGTAAATTTAGCTATTGCTAACAGTGATGCAATCACTGCTACTTTACGTAAAATGACGAATAGTAATGGTTAAGCATTAAATATTATGTCTAAAAAAGTATCACAGTGAACTTCATGTATTGCAAAAAAAATTATCATAGTTACGTATATTTTATCTTAAATTAATTATAATAATTATTGAATGTATGCAAGCTTGTTGACATTTAAAAAGTGTAGTTCATCGTATGAAATCAATGGGTTTCAAGTAACTTTTAATAACTCACGTTCAAAATTTGTAGGTATATAAAGTCATATAGTTGTTGTTTTATAGTACTTTAATGAAATATCTATTGATCACTTGGATTTTGTTTTATTAAAATAACAGTATTACATACAGTCTCAGCGCCTGTGATTATATTACTGTCATCAGCTTTCTTTAAGCTCAACCGTGAAATATAACCTATTACAATATAACTTAATCGTAAAAAAATCGTTGTTAAGTTTATTTTTTTTGCGTTATTTTTTCCTACGTATGCATTGTATGAGCATTGACTAGGAGAATAAAAGAAAACAAAATCCTTGCCTACTTAATTTTTTTAATTGCAATTTTTTATACATGGGTACATATTACTGTAGAAAAACAAAAAAAAACTTATTCAGATCATGGTATTATCATGAAAAAGCTATTGGTGCTTGTATCATAATAAAACCTTTTTTAAGTAATCCCAAAACATCGATACCACTTTAACATTCAAAATCCACAAATAAAGAAAACAAAAATCATGCTTCTACTGAAAATACAGACATGCAAACAGTTACAATTTTGAGTTCAACTGAATAACAATTCAACTTTCCAAATGAAACTTTGTAAAATACAACAAACAACTCAAGACCGTCTTCAGATTTAATTTCTGGATATTTACATGGCCTGATAACAATATTTTTTACTTAAGTAGCAAAAAACAGAATAAGAAAAAGCTTTCATTTGTTATATGTGGCTTTCAGTGACAATAAGCGGTTGAAAAAAAAAAAAAATCTAGAAAAGTATCAAGGAGGAGATTGTTTCTTTAAAAAAAAAATTAATGTTGAAAATCAGGAAAATAAGAGAGAAGAGCTAGAAGAGAGAAATAAAAGTATTTGAAAAAGTTAAATTAGGATTAAAAAAGAAAAAATGAAATTAGTGAAGCAACAACAACTAGTCGTACAATTTGAAGAGAAACATAAAATAACAAAAACTATAACAAAAATACTATGGCAGTAATTGGATGTCAGTAATATAAACACAGTGCAGTAATACCAGCATTTAGCTAATTCAATAAAAGTTTAATAATCATAATACTTTACAGTTTTTATCATTTAAATGATTGTTATATGGTATCTAAGTACAAAAGCTTTTAATTAAACAAAAAATGAAGTTTGTGTATAAATACATGTGTATATTGTAAGCTTTTACGTACATCCTAAACGAAAAAGTGTCAGTAATACCTCCACTCACTCCTACTTGATGAACATGAGCTCAGTTCATATTCACCTATTTAACTACTAATTGCATTTGGTTCAATTATATTACAATTGTTACTGTACAATTGTTAAGTAAGGGACCTATTTAAGTTAATCCCAAGTTAAAGAGTTTAGCCTACAAGTTCTGATTTCCTGCACAACTAGTATCGTTTCTGTTTCCTACCTTGGTTACATCTTGATAATTAAAAATTTTAACCGACATTTGTTGACTTAGAACTATCAGCAATATCAAAAAAATTTCACCCTCAAAGTAATCTTTTGCTTTCGGTCATACTCATAGTAAAGGCTAGTTTTAGTTCTTTGAGCGTGGCCCTACAAAAATTTTTCTATGATTCTTTCTTGTTTTTATTTACCAAAAAGCTTGCATGTTTACTAGACTCTTATAAATCAGTACTATAAGTCTTCTCTCATGCCAATTCATCAAACTCATGACCTGACTATAAAATTTATGTATTTAATATAGATGTCATTATAGTCATAACATCAATATTTTTACTCTTACAGAAACGTGAATAACGTATTTTTAGTGCACATCACTTATCGAAATATTATATTACGTGCTGATTGTCATGACAAGGGGATGAGAGCTGGAGGAAAAGACGTTTGAATGTCTAGGGGGGTAGCGTTGCATTTTATTTGTGTGGGAACGTAACGAATCACATGATCATTTCCTTTAAGGTAACACTAAATGTGACACATTACTTAGTGATCAGTGTTAAGGAATGCTTAGGATTAAAAATACTTTATTATTTAATTTCTGCAACAAGGCAACGTTGTCGATGTAGAGATTGACTTATAGTAATGTATTCTTTGCGAGTGCTAGAATCAATAACACTTCGACGCAGGGGCTCTATCACGACTTTCGATATCTCGCAAAAGTCAGTATTTTTTTCGATAATTCTTATAGT